GTCCCGAAGTCTTCTGCTAAATTTCTATCCCACATCTAGTGGTGGCAAAAAAGCTCGGACGGCTCGGGCTCGGCCAGGAAAAAGTCCGAGCCGGGCCCGGCTCGGGCTCGGGCCGAGCCCCATTTTGGGCGGTCGGCCCGTGATTAATAAAAAAAAAATTTTAAAAAAATAATAATTTTTTTTAAAGCTAAAATAGCTAAAAAAATTTTAAAAAAATAAAAAATCGAGCCTGCTCGAGCCGAGCCTTATTTTTTTTGGCCGGGCTCGGCTAGGCTCGAGCTTTTTTTTTTCTGGCTCGGGTCGACTGGGCTCGACTCGTTGACACCACTACCCACATCAGCACAAATGAGGCTCTGTTACAATCTCCAGACAAAATGGATTACTGTCAAACATACATAACATTTTCCTACGTTATATACCCACGAGTTAAACCATTTGACAGGTAAATGGTTGACATAATCTTTACCAACTCTCACAATGCATGGGACCCACCAAAATAAAAAATGAAATAAAAACCCACCCACCCACCCCCTCCCTCGGGTCCCTCCGGAACCCTCACGTGTACGAGTAGCATGATTATTTACCCATTTATTCATCTTGGCACACTTAGAATGAGGAGAAGACGATATTGCCCTTTGAGAAAAAAATTAATTTTGACCCGTGAAGTTAACGCAAGGTTCGGACCTTTGAAGGATATTTTGCACTAAAATGAATAGATTGATCGATGGAGAGAAAGGTCATATGGTATTGTGTTTATTAAAAGTGTCTTTGGTAGATATTAAAATCCGATTAAAATTAAAAAATTAGTCGTTATTGTTGATTTTTATTAGACGAGTGGAACTAATAACGACTATATTTTTAATTTTAATTGAATTTTAATTTGAACCGAACAAGCCCTAAGTTATTAACCATGTCACCAATGTTTTACACCTCTCTCTCTCTCTCTCTCTCCAATTTTTTTGGATTTTCTTATTATTTTTCGTTACTAAAGAACGAAGCAAACAACCTGGCTGCCTACTGCAAGAAAAAGCTTTCAACTTTCAGATTAGAATCCCCATTTAAATTCTCAACCGCTGCTTTATCAAATATCTCACTTACCCAATGCAGAAAAGAAACCGTAAAGAATACAATTCAATGTATTGCAACCCACCCAGACTCGGAAATTTTTGGGTTTATGCAAAAGGGCTTTTCACAGATTACCAAAGAAGTTGTTGGAAGAGCACTGCATGCGGTTTGCGTAAAGGGTGGTACTTATGTAAGCATATTTCACACCAACACGTTGATAAATATGTACTGCAAGTTTGGGGAATTTGATGCTGCTAAGAATGTGTTTGATGAAATGCTCGAGAGAAATGAAGCTTCTTGGAATAACATGATTTCTGGGTATGTCAATATGGGGTTGTATGTAGATGCTACTCGATTGTTTATAGATATGTGGGGTCGAGGAATTGAGTTAAATGGGTATGTTACTGCTAGCTTATTGACTGCATTTAGTCGGTCAGAGGGCATGGTTCTTGAAGGACTTCAGATCCATGGTTTGGTGTTCAAGAACGGTTTGTTATATGATGTTTTTGTGGGTACTTCTCTTTTGCATTTTTACGGCATGTATGGGCTTCTTTCTAGTGCTAGAACAGTTTTTGAGGAGATGCCTCATAGAAACGTGGTTTCTTGGACTTCATTGATGGTCGATTATTCAGATGTTGGAGATTTCTATGAGGTTGTTAAATTATATCAAAGGATGAGATGTGAAGGTATTAGCTGTAATCAGAATACATTTACTACAGTTATTAGTTCTTGTGGGGCTCTTGATGATGAATTTTTGGGTCATCAAGTGCTTGGACATGTTATAAAGTCAGGGATTGAGAGTAATGTATCTGTAGCAAATTCTATTATATCGATGTTTGGTAATTTCCGCAGCGTGGAAAATGCCTGTTATGTATTTAATCACATGGATGAACGTGACATTATATCATGGAACTCTGTGATTACAGTTTTTGCCGATAACTGGCTCTGTAATGAGTCGCTTAGATTCTTTCATTTGATGCGTCTTGAGCATGGAGAGATTAATGCAACTACACTTTCAGCAGTGTTGGTAGTCTGTGGTTCTGTGGATTACTTGAAATGGGGTAGAGGAATTCACAGTTTAGTAGTGAAATTGGGATTGGATTCTAATGTCTGCATATCAAACACTCTTCTTACTATGTATTTTCAGAGTGGAAGATATAAAGACGCCGAAAAGTTGTTCCAAAGAATGGCAGAGAAGGATATGATCTCGTGGAATTCGATGATGACTGGTTATGTTTTGGAAGGGAAATGCTTAGATGCCTTGAAAGTGTTGAATGAACTGCGCCACATGGGGAAAATGATGAACTTCGTGACCTTTGCAAGTGTACTGGCTGCTTGCTCTAATGCTGAATTTCTTGTTGAAGGCAGGATCATGCATTCACTTGTAACCATATCTGGGTTTCATCAGAATCTGGTAGTTGGAAATGCACTAGTTACCATGTATGGAAGGTGTGGCATGATGCAGGAAGCCAGAAAGGTATTTCAGATGATGCCTGAGAAAGAGTTGGTTACATGGAATGCACTGATTGGTGGATATTCAGAGAACCAAGAATGTGATGAGGCATTGGAAACTTTTAAATTGCTGCGACAAAATGGCGAATCTCCAAACTACATTACCCTGATAAATGTTCTTGGATCCTTTTCAGATCCAGGCAACCTACTGAAGTGCGGAATGCCCTTGCATGCTCATATTATACTGACTGGATTTGAAACAGATGAATATGTAAAGAACTCCCTTATCACAATGTATGCTGATTGTGGTGATCTTAATTCAAGTAACCATATGTTTTATGGATTACTTAATAAAACGCATGTAACTTGGAATGCCATGGTTGCTGCAAACGCTCAGCATGGCCAATGGGAGGAGGCTCTAAAACTTCTTCTAGATATGCAGAGAACTGAGTTGAATTTCGATCAATTCAGTCTTTCTGCAGGCCTTGCTGCTTCAGCAAATTTGGGTATCTTGGAGGATGGCCAGCACCTTCATAGTTTGGCTATTAAACTTGGATTTGACGGTTATCACTATGTGAAAAATGCTACAATGGACATGTATGGAAAGTGTGGAGAAATGAATGATCTGCTAAAAATGCTTCCAGAACCGAGAAAGCGATCAAGATTATCGTGGAACATATTATTATCATCTTTCGCCAGACATGGATACTTTCAGAGGGCAAGGGAAATTTTTCATGAAATGCTAGAGCAGGGGGTGAAACCCGACCATGTCACTTTCGTCTCACTTCTATCTGCATGTAGTCATGGGGGTCTAGTAGATGAAGGTCTTGCATATTTTGCTTCGATGACCACTGAGTTTGGAGTCCCTGCTGCTATAGAGCACTGTGTCTGCATAGTCGATCTTCTTGGACGATCTGGAAGACTTGCTGAGGCTGGAACATTTATCAAAGAAATGCCCGTTCCACCGAATGACTTTGTCTGGCGAAGTTTGTTGGCAGCGTGTAAAACCCATGGTCATTTGGAACTGGGAAAGAAAGCTGCTGAAAATATTCTTAAAACAAACCCATCAGATGACTCTGCTTATGTCCTTTATTCAAACGTCTGTGCAACATCCGGAAGATGGCAAGATGCACAGAGAATTAGGGTCAAAATGGAATCCGATAATGTGACAAAGAAGCCTGCCTGCAGTTGGCTCAATGTAAGAAATAAATTAACTACCTTCGGGGTAGGAGATCAGTCCCACCCAGAATCCGAGCAGATATATATTAAATTGATGGAGCTGAGGAAAAAGATCAAAGAAGCAGGTTATGTCCCGGATACAAGCTATGCATTGCATGACACAGATGAAGAACAAAAAGAGGATAATTTATGGAACCACAGTGAGAGGCTTGCTCTTGCTTATGGTTTGATCTCTACACCAGAAGATTCAACTCTCCGAATTTTCAAGAATCTTCGTGTTTGTGGTGATTGCCATTCAGTTTACAAGTTCGTAAGCAATATAGTCCATAGGGTAATCATATTAAGGGATCCTTACCGGTTTCACCATTTTAGTGGTGGCAAGTGTTCTTGTGGTGACTATTGGTAGCGTGCTAAGCCCTTTAGGCCATCAACGAGCTTTGATGATAGCTTTGTACAGTTTGAATGAGGCTCGTTTGGCAGAATGACATCAGTGGCTCGTAAAATTAAAATCGTTCTTCTGTGTTGATAGTGCTCATTAGTGGATTTGATTTAGTTGTCATGTCGTGGATTTTTCGAACCCAAATGTACTCCTTTGACATGAAAAAATTTGATTAAAAATTGACTTAAATGAATTTATGAGCCCTCCTTGTTCAGTTGCTTTTGGAAGCCTTTCACAGTTACCACTTGCCAGTTTGAGGCATTTTAATTTGGTCTGGAATTTAGAAACAATGCGAAACTGATAAAATTGGTTTGCGATCTTATGTTAATTTTTTATTCTGATTATTATCTTGGTAGAAAGTTCCGAAATAGGGTAGAAAAAAATATTGAACAACGAAAAAGTAAAGAAATGCTCTCGTTGAGAGTCGAACTCAAGACCTCCCGCTTACTAAACGGGTGCTCTAACCAACTGAGCTACGAGAGCTGATTGAAACAAGTTGGAAGTTAAATATATATATCAAATGTTAACAATATCTATATCAAATTTTAACAACCGCACCATTCTACCTTCAAATGTTGTAGCATCATGTAGCAATAGGTGTTGACTAATCCATTAATTTTCCTTTTTGGTAAAAAAAAATATATATTTGACAATCTTTAATCACGGATTAAGTGTTGATTGAAAAAAAGTTATTATTCTACTACCGAGATTTTTTATTTAGTTGTATGTAAAATTATAGTAGTTCTAAAGCGTAATTTGAATAAAACTTTGGAACACTAACGAGGGAAAAAAAGAGACAAGACGGGACATAAAAATTTCATCTTCGTTGTATACTTTATCCATTTAATGTATTTGCTTTATATTTTACTTTATATCTTGAATTGTAAATCATACTGTTTAAGCGTATCAAGTTTGAATCTCTATGTAAATAGAGAAGACCAATCTCTCCTAACAATTTATTCTTGTAATGTATTTCTTTATAATTTCCTTGAAAGCCAAATGTTCTTTAAAGAAGGGGTTAAATGGACAAGGAAAAACTATAAATTCTATTATGGCGGCACGTGTACGTTCTTGAAAGAATAATGCTAAGTGTACACAATTTTTTACACAATCTTTTACACTTCTCTCACATGAAAGGGGGCCCACACATAATAAAATAATCGTGGACCCCCCTCCATGTGAGAGATGTGTAAAAAATTGTGTAAAAGTGTGTGTGTACATGTAGCATTACCCTTCTTGAAATGTATGGTAAAGAGGAATAGACAAACAGAGAGACCACAATATGATACCAATAAGCAATTCCCATAAATGTCGAACAAAGATTAAACATTATACTGCTTCCCGTCATAAAGAAAACTGTATAACACCATTTAGAACAAGATCTAAGAATAGCAAGCTCAAATCGTCTAACAAAACTCAACCACTGGATTTTAACAAGAGAAAAGAACTTGTGCTAAGGTGATGACACTATTCCACTTCCTGCAAGTAATCGTCGATTTCGGCAGGAGTCAAAACTCTGCAACACGAGAGGCAACCACCATTATCGATCAGCCAACAACGATCAATTAGAACTTAGGTTCAACAACTCAGTAAAGAAGACACTTGCCTGAATACTTTGTCACTGCCAATGATGCCAATCTCAATGTTTTTGCCAGAAATTTGTCCTTCAAATCTGAGACGGTGGGATTAAAGTTAAATAAAATTACAAAATTTACAATACGTAACAAAGATTGGAAAATTTGGGTCCTTACCCCTCCTTCAGTGTCAATATTGCCGTGTGCACAGCATCATCAAGCTCCATATCATCAGTGTACCTACAATAAGTATCCAAACAAATCACAATCAACAAAAACAAAATAAGAAGATTATAACAGTCCTAGATATCAATGGTGGTCGAACTTGATAATCAATGCACTAGCAAAAGCCATGAGGTCATACGTAATACTAATTTTTGTTACTTGTAAACTTTCCCCTTTTGGAGTCAGATATTAGCGTATAGGTTGGTTGAATAAATCATAGACCATGTTCATTGAAACAGAAATGGATGAGTCTTGTAGACTGTTTTATTAAACATTGCCATTTTTATCTTCCAAGCAGAGGGATCTATCCTCAGATTCAGTAAGCAGATTCTTTGAACAAATGAATATCGTCTACAATCTTAAACTCAAGTAAATTCAGAATAATAAACTCCCATACAGAAGAAGGATAACCCAAGGCTGGATGGATAGCCGAGATTGCCTAGTTCCAGAGAACAAAAAAACCAGTAGACATTTTCCACAGCTCACAATTGCTCAAAGAGATTAATATTATCCTGTCTGTAGCAAATGTTAAATCTGTACTGACATAAGGGAAGGAAAGGCAATGATTGAACCCCTAGCAAATCAAATATGAAGAAACAAAAAACAACCCACCTCTTTTCCAGAAAAGTCTTTGCATTGGACACATTCTTCCCCATGGCTGATGCTTTCCAAGAGAAGTATGAACCTGATGGATCCACCTGTAGGACGAATGTGTAATTAAGGAATTAAAGTTATGGAAAAAAGATAAAAAATGATTTGATTACAAGCATAACATTCAGCCAACAAAACAATGCAAAGTTCTACAGGGCGTAAAAACTAGCTCATCCTAAGACACATATTTAGATTTGTGAAGATAACGTTCAGAGTGGCGAATGTTGCTTGGTTTCGGTCCATTAATAGAAGTTTCAACATGAATGAAACAGAAGAACAATTAAAAGGTAATTTGAGAAGTAATTCGTGCCAAAATGCAGAACTTGATATCTGCAATAGTTTATAAAGAAGCACAGAGTTTAAAAAATTGTTTTGAGCCACTCATGATTTGAGAAGTAATTTATGCCAAAATGCAGAACACGCGATCTGCAATAATTTATAAAGAGAAAAAAAATTGCTTTGTTTTACGTAAGGAAAAAGGAATAGGAAATACAAAGATATTGACAAAAAGAAATTGATTTGACATACCTGATATAGTTGTGGACCCTTGTCATCAAACCCCGCAACCAAGAGAGAGACACCAAATGGCCTTACACCACTAAAAGAAAAAACCATTGAATTGAATGAGAAAAGCAATACAAGCAAGCCCGATATAATAACAGGAAAAAATATATTGAACCCTGTCAAAAGTTCATGAAAGGTTAAACAAGAAACGAATTTAAGAGCCTGTTTGACAACACTATTTTAGAAAAAAAGAGTCTTGAATAGTGATTTAGAAGAATGTGTGGTTAAAATGTAAGGAAAATTTTTTGATATACGTGTAAAATATTTAATTGCATAAATGTATGGTTGAAAATAATCATATAGCAAATGATAAAGCAGGCAGCCACTTTACCTCTTTCAAATGGAGTATGAAGAAAATTTCCTCAAGATAATTTACTTCAAGCAATTTCTTATTGTGTTAACAGTATGTGACGTGATGCCAGGGGTTATTGGAAATATAATGAAGAGATACTAGCAAGCATGGCTAATAAATACTTATCAGGCCAACCAAATCTTCTATTTGCTGCATTATGCAGTCTCCTATGAGCTAAATAAATTTCATGTGTTGACAGTAAAAAATTAGGCATTGAATCTATAAAAATAACCAGAATGGAACTGAATGGGTCATCAGGCTCATCTAACTAGCAATCACCCTAACAATGGCCAAAGGGCAAAAAAGGAAAAGAAAAAAAGGAAAATCAAGTCCCAGAGAGTAGTACTGTCATAAGGTGATCAGCTTTATGGTGATATCACTGGTACAAGTCTCAAAATCAATTTCAGAAACAAACAATTTGCTTCACTAAAATGAAAAGGCGAATGATTAGACAATATATTGTAGCTACCCTGATTGAGTGAATTCCTGCATAACAGCAGCAGTCTCCCTCACAAGTTGTGTAACAGGGATTGGTTCCTACAAATTACATGCACAAAAAACTGATCAGCATTAAATGATATGTTTATGCTAAGAAAATTCCATTTCTAAACAATTTCAAGTATCGTATAGTAAAAGTGCTACCATAAAAAGAATCTCAAGAAGAGGTAATTGGATAACTACTTTCAGTAATAGCTGGGAAAAGAAATTCGAAGATCCCTAGCAATTTGGGAAAATGATTTTACAACTTTTAAAATTTCCCAACATCCTCAATCTTGGAGGCATAACTCTCTCTCTCCCACCTAAAAAATTGAATACTTACTTGTCAAGAAATATTAATGTCTGCCAATGCAACTAGGGGGAAGAAAAGCTGTATTAGAATGTGGAATGTCAAATGAAATTGTGTGTGATAGGACCAGAACAGAAGTTCAAAGGTTATGTTAATCAAATGACTCCTTTTTTCAATATGTTCAAAGTAAAGATGTATTAAATTATTCCATATTGCATACACCATCAATCCACTAAACAAATAACTTCCACCACCTAATTATAAAACCTCAAAGAACCTTATTGTCCAGATAGGACATGAACTAGTCAGATGTCTATTCACTAGGTGTTGAGGACTAACTGACAAAACATAAAACAGGTAAAGAATTACTTGACATGGTGTATTATATGAGCACGTTTGGCAAAGCTTTTAAGTGCTTATAAGCTATTTTTAACCACACATTTGTTAAGATCAACAACTTTTATCTACTTTTTATCCACATTCCTTGGAACCTACTGCTTATAAGTACTTAAAAGCTTAGCAAAGAAGGCAATATCTACAAATTAATGTACTGAAGATGCATGCAAGAATAAATTTATTTTAGAACCGCTTAGACCTTTACAGCCATGTTTCAAGACTCGGTCAATTCCCATCATAATATATGGATTTCTATAGCAAAAAAAAATGAAACAGGTACTCATAAAATTAATATTAGAATACAGAAAAGCAGAGTGAAAAAAACTTAAATTCTACTAGAGCAAAATAAATACTTTATAAAGCCGATGATACTGCTCAGCCTGCTTCCTACTTTTTCGAACCAACACCCGAGAATCGGGGCCCATGCCACTGCCAAAAGTGAAAATATAACAGGAGAGTTAAGTTCTGTAATGAGCAGCACAGATTCAAAACATGCAAGCACAAAACTATTTAATGCCTCTCTAGGTATTATCAAATATTTCTTTAAATCCCCAGTCTCTAGAGTTTGAGAAATTTTTTAAAAGCATACGAGAACCTAACATTCTTTAAATATCAATAAAAAATACGTTAGTTTATTTTGTGTACTAAAGATTATTACAAGGACTTGCTAAAGATTATTCTCGTGTCTTGCATGGTTGTCTACTATTTCGCCGAGATGATTCTAAATGAAGAGCAGTGGAAAAGATATCCCATGATATTAAGCAATAGCAAAAATGGCTTCAAGATAAATTAGTATTACACCTGTATACAACTCCAATATTCGGAGTCAAAATCTGAATCTTTTGGACCTGGAAGAAGAAAAGGGCCAAGAACAGTCATTATCAAAGGCATTAAAAATATATATAAATAAAGAAAAAAGAGATGCTCTTACAGTTAAGGACAGTTGAAAGGGCAAATGTAATGCAAGAAACAGTAGGAGTAAATTGTGCATGGGAACAAATCAAGTTCTAGTTCGGTTTAACTAAAAATCAGATTTTTAGTAGATTTTGATAAAAATTGATGAAATGTGTGCTTGAAAATGAATTTAAGAAAAAATGAGTTTTAGAAAATGGTGGTCAAATAGGGCCAAAAGTGATATGTATAGTGGTAACTAAAATAATACCAGGTTATCTATGAAAAAAAATTGCTGCTTCAATAAATTGAAGACCAATGACAGAGAACATCAATCTCATTTATGTACAGTATTTTGCTGCTAGCAAATTGGAAATATACAGAGGAGAATGAGAGTAAAGTAAACCGATACAGACTGCATATTTTCAACAACTTTAAATAGAGTAAATACAATTATTTCATTCATGCAATTACTATTTATAAATGTTAAATAGCCATTAGTGCAACCATGGCATGCACCAAATAAGATACGAACACAATGCATAGGAAAAATTATTAATGTCGAGTTATTAACTAATATCAATCACTTAAAAATCTTTTACGAGATTACAATCAAACTGATATCTATTTGACTATACCTAGGAAACTGCACGACATATAGTCAAATTTGTCAAGAAAATCCACAATTATGAAATATTGTTGTTTATAGTTTCTGTTTGACTATTTCCAGAAAACGTGTATTCATTTCACACTTATATTTTTTTATAAATGCCAGGTTTGCTGCCACATCAGAGAGGCAAAAATGATACTGAACTTAGATATATCAAATCATTCAAAGGTAAAATAAAGAATGGGTAGTAACTGCAACACTTGAACTCAAAATCCACCAATGTGCCCATAAAATATACTTACAGATGTTTCATCAACCAAGATAGATGGTAATTTCTTCTCCGTCGCAATAACAACACCATTAGCAGCTGCAATTAAACCCGCATATAAGTAAGTAGTACATTAAGACACTCGATAAGCATGTGATAACTGGTTCAATAAAATATCATTTTTCTTCACATAATACCAAGCTTTGGTACATTAAATGAGAACCAACAGGCAAAAATTTCATTTCCCTACACAAAGCACCACCTGTCTACCCTCTTTCCTGAAATGTTGGTTTTCACAAATACATTTTAATTTTCCATTCATCGAAAACCCAGTATATACATACAGAGAGAACAATGTACCAGCAATGTCATTAATTAAATTGCTAAATACAGGTAAGTTTACGTCATTATCAGACTTGGCAGGTGAGGATTACCCACCAGATCAAAACTTTAAACAATAAAGTTTAAGGTCGGAAAGCAGGGAATTCACCATCAACAAACGCATATCACGCTGGTTGAAATCTTCACATATTGCTAATGCAGTACTCACGAAAAAAATAGCTACGGCCCAAGTCATACAATCTAGTTCTACGAATGCTACATACTAAATTTTTCCGAATAAAAAATATCAAAATAAAAGTTTCAGATTTACCTTTAATTCCTAAAGATGTCTGACCAGATCCAACTGCAGTTAAGGCGTGTTCAATCTGAACAAGTTTTCCTGAAGGACTGTGTCAATAACAATAATAAATCATAATCAGTACACGCATATACAGACTTGAATACAGACAATATTCATATCCGCTCAAATAGGTGCATTTTTTATTTTGGATATTAAAATAAATTTTGAACACATACACAGCGGATGAATGCATACCTGAAAGTGGTGAGAGAGAAAGAATACTGACTGTCACCCATTGATTTATAGATAAAACTGTAATTGAGCTCCTGTAGAATGAACTGAACAGAAACACAGAAAAAAGATATGCATTATAACTAACTATTTTAAATATGTCGAGAGTACATAAAAGTAGAAAAAACAGAGCATTCAGGGTAAATGATACTTCTGATAGATTAAAATTTTTCCTGAAACACAAAACTCAAAGCCCTAAAAGAGCTTCATTTTTAACCTACTGACCATTAGTTTCCGCAAGAAAAACAAAAAGAAATTTATTTCGGAAAGATAATCTATAAGCACAGCTCTGATCCCCTATGATCTACGCGAAATGAACCAACTGCAAGTTTAAGCAAAGATTTCGTAGAAGAAAAATCCCATTTTTTTGGTTTCCAAAATAACCTTGCAATTTCAACTGATTGACGAAAATTATTAGAGAGAGCAGAAATTTGTATACTTTGGAGAATTTCTTCGACGAAATGCTATTGCAATTGCAGTGTTGAAGCAGATGGAGGGGTTTTGTTGCTGATTTCTTGTAGAGTAATTAAAGATCGCCCTTTTGTTTATGCGGCTGCTGAGGCCCGTTGAATGACCCGAATATGATGTGTGCATATTCCAAATCGGGCCTGACTGGTCGGGTCCGCTTAGAGGGTTTTATTCGTAGTAATTTTCACAAATAGCTTCATTTGTTTTACAGTTCCAATTTGTAAACTGGATATACTTGTATAATTCTTCACTTCTAGCACTACAAGTGATGATGAATCATAAAACGTCGGAGGTTGCGCTTCTATGATCAACTTATAAATTCTGTAAGAATAATGCTATATGAGTGCTTAGCATCAGTTTTAAATGGCAGTGTAAGTTCATCTAAAAAACAATTGGTCATCAATAATAAGACGTGAAATTCATTATCACGTAAATTGATTCTAGTGATATCACATAGCATTATTCTTTTTATAAAAGTCGTTGAATATTACAATTGACAAGGTCGTATCTTGAAAATATGGGAAAATATAGTATCATTACTATGATGATATGACACGATTTTCACTACTGTCAATACGCATGTCACGCTATCTACGTTATCATCATATTACTTGCTTCACGTTAGCAATATTGTCAAACTGACTTGTGCAAGCATATCATCTGCTATGATACATGAGAGGAAGTGAAAGAGATTCTGTTTACGCATTTTTTAGGTTAACGGGAAGCATTTTTTATGAGTTTTTTCTCATCGTGACTAACAAATAGTAGATGGGTTGCACCTTCTTAACCTACGGTAGATGTCAAGAAATGTTATTCTTATGCATATATCTTGTCATATAATGACTTCATTTTAACAAAGCACTTAGTTAAAATGATGAGTGTGACTCATGGACGACAACTTGTGAAAATAGTAATGAGCCACTTGGAATAACTTTTGTTTATTTTTTGTAGAAAAGTTTTATGAGTACTTCACGTTGGACTAACTAATTTAAAAGTATTTCTAGATGGATGAAGCACCTTTAAAAAATTGTTCAAGCAAGCCTACTAGTAACTTCTTATTCTTATACTAAGGTAGGGGCAGTGACAGACTCCATATTCATCATTACAAAATGTCCTATACAAAAAAAAAAAAGAACTTCTAATCTTGTATGTCACCTCTAAATTTTCAAAAGCTACTCCAAACTTACCCTAATTAATATTACTCTTTTCATCACAGCTGTGAATTATTTCAATAGAGATAAAGTGCTTGATTGATATAAAGGTTAATATTGAATTTATTGAATAAAAAAATGAAATTTCAATACTCAATCTTGTCATCGACGAAGATATCATCTCATCGAATATACTATTTAGAGGAAACTAAAATCTGTACAAATGTATAAAAGAAAATAAACTAAAATACGCACGCATGCTTTCTAAACTATTTAATGAAAACTGGATGTGAAAAATTCACCAAGAAAAAGATGTAGCTCAAGGGCTCTGAAAAATCAATCAAGAAATTCAGAATCGAAGTAACAAAAACAAAATGAATAGATGCTTTGGATTTTAACTTTTATTGCTGTTATAGTCTCTCCGATATTGAATTATTATACACAGCCTAATCGTCGGATGAATCAACCCAAATCAAGCGTTGTTCTCTCTCATTTAACGAAATAAAAATAGAAAGTTTGTCTATGAAAGAATTGACCCAAATTAGAACCGAAGCACTCTACTAACACAATACTACAACCCCAATAGCCATAATCGTTGCGGGTAAATAGATCTATATAAATCGAATACCGCAAAATTATGAGAAAACTACGATTTTAGAGAAGGGAAGAAAAATGCAAGGGCAGGGAAAGAGAAATGAGTGAATATGGGCCATAACTTGACTGAATACAAAGTCGTTTTTTAACTCTCGATGATGATTTCTAATGTGCACCCAAACCATACCTCTTTTAGCCCCTATTTGGTTCAACAAAAAATTACATTAAAATTAAAGTTAAAGTTAGTGAAAAAATTTAATCACACATTTTATCTACTTTGATTAAAATCTATTAAAATTTTCATTTTCATTTAAACCAAACTCTGTTTAGGAAATACCATTTTTATTTACTTTGCACTCGAACGAATGCAGTAAAAATTAGCCCATGTTTGGTACACACTAAGGCTGTGTTTGATTACTTCCATTTCCAACAAAATCCATGTTTGATTGGCATAAAATGGATGGGAAAAAATTTTCTTGGGACAGCCTCCACGCTCCAGTGAGNAATTTTCTTGGGACAGCCTCCACGCTCCAGTGAGAATTGGTTTTCCAACCAGCCGTCATTTTTTATTTGATTTTTTTTAGAAACAAATTTCATAACAAAGAGTAAAAAAAAATTCACTTTCATGGACAATTTTGATGCGAACGAAGGTCAAACGAACATTAAACTTTGATAAAAAAAAAAAAAAAAGATTTTTTAGAAAACATTTTTTTTCTGTTTTTTTCTTTTGTACTTTTTGGCAATGGAAACAAATTTTATAATCAAGTGTGGAAAAAATTATCACTTTAATGGATAATTTTGATGCAAACGAAGGCCAAACGAACATAAAATTTAAAAATTTTCCGAGTGGAAAATTATACCAATCAAACATACATAATTAACAATTCCCTACAAAATAATTTCTAGTCAATTACTTTCCCTGGAATTCATTTTCTTCCCACCCATTTTCCACCCTTCATATCAAACGGATCCTAAAATTTTTATTTTTATTCTTCGACTTATTTTCAATTACACATTTTTCAATAAAATAATATTTTTCATCACATTAATAATTTTTTATTCTTTTTTATACACAAATTCTTCATCAATCTAGGGGCTGTCTGGCCCGACTGAAAATCAGAATCCAATACATTGGCTGCAATTTTCCATGCGTTGGCAGCCGCAACTTTTGACCCAGCAACTTTTGACCCTCCTTCTCACAATTGGCTTGCGGGTTGGAAAAAAACGGTAGAAAAATCAATTGTTTGGCTCAACAAAATCGATTGCAGACAGGGTGCTAATATTTCAGGATATATTCTTCCAAAACAAGCTCAAACGCGCACTTAAAACAAATCTTGACTATCCTGTATAGTACTAATCCTGGAGTTCCCTGCGTGGCCATCCGATTCATCACTTCCCGTTTGACACTTGACAGTGAGCTCCATTTACACTTCATTTTTCTCTCTCAAGCTATCATTTCAAGTATTGATTGTTGTTTCTATAATTCTTTTATGACAATTGGTTTTGCTTCGTGGGTTTTTCTGGTTTTGTATTTTTGCCGATGGGGTTTGTCAACTTTTGTATCGTTGACATTTCTTAATTTCATCTATTACAGAGATAATCTCTGTTTTAGGCTTCAAGTCCCCAAAATTTGCAGAAATTTCAACTTATAATTGCTTTGTTGATAACTGTGTGAGGTTTTTATTTTTTGTTGGTAATCTTCACTAGTAGTGGTGGGGTAATTTGTTTACTGTAAGACGAGAATACATTAACATCGCACTACAAGGGGAGTAAAAAACGGAACTTTCAATTAATCGAGCGCAATTTCAGTTCCCAAATCTGTCTCCGGAAATTAGATGCATGTGTGGCTGTGCTTTAAAGAAAGTATTGTTAGTGAATTTGTTTACTTTATGACGAGAATACTTTAACTTTCTACTGTTAAGGGGATTAAAAACGAATCTGTTAAGTGATTAAATGCAATTTCAATCCCCTCATATGCCCCAGAAATAGATGCATGTTTGACTGTGATTAAAAGCTTAGAACTATGTTTTGTTAGTAAAAAAACTAACTTCGACAAAATAAGTAACTTAAAAGTAAGTTAGACATACTTTTAAGCCCATTGAACATGCTGAAAATTGTGTCCTTGTGTTGTTTGAACTTGATGTAAAATCACACTGAAGTAAACCCATCTCTTAAAGGTAGCCTCTTCTTTTTTTTGCTGTCACCTTTTTGTTGTGTTTCGTTTATTTTTTATGACTTGCCTCATGATAGTGTGATTTTATTTGGATAAGACATAGTCTAGTTCATATCCGGTGATATCTTGTGATTTGAAGGGAAAAGGAGATTTTGATAAACAGTCATCATGATTGTTAATTTTTCGTGCAATTTTGATAATGATTATTGTTCTTTTCCTTCCTGGAAGTGCCTTTGGTGAAACAATCCTGCTTAGTGCACATCATTTTCTTGTTCACTGCAGGTGAGAACATTTAGCGATTGGTTATTTCCCATCTATCATATAGGGCTTGGGGTTTGTAGTATGTCTTCGTCAGCGGCTGTGTCGGAAGCTTCATTTGTCTCCCAGTTATTGTTGACTAATGAGCCCGTTGTTTCAGTTGACTGGCTCCATGCTAATCTCCGAGAGCCTGACTTGAAGGTGTATAAATAAGCTATTTGATTTTTCTTGTCAAATGGACTGATTGGAGTTTCTCTGTGATGGAATGTTTTTTTTTTCTTTCGATGGATTTTTAGAATGTAGAAACTTCTTTTGTGTTATCATTCTCAACAAAGTCCTGTTCCATATTTTTCTTTTGTAATGTACATAATTATTCGTACTTCTTCCGGACTTTGGCACCATGAGACAATGTGACATGAGTAGAAAAACAATGGTATTTGGCATTACCAATCAACTTAATTAAACTCAAATTTCCGTTAGTGGATCCCTCCCTCAAATTACTAATGTCAATTTAATTTCAGCTTCCCTTATATATCTGAGATTTCTTAGTTCGGAAGCTGGCTTGGAAGCTGTGATGTTTTGTACTATGGATAAAACAAAAGTTGAAAGAATCTGAAGACAGGTGGAAGATCCTGTAACCAATAAATCAAGATCATATTTTTCTTTCACAATTCGTGCTTTTTCTGGATCTTGGTAAATATCTTTGGGCAATCTTCTTATGATACTTTTTAAACATTTTTCTCTGGTTTGGGGGGTTGTCATGGGGGAAGAGCTGAGTAGGTGAAAGGCAATCATGTCTGCCAGCTCGTGATGTGTGTATCCGGTTCTAATCCTGGCCAAACTTTGCTTGTTATGAACTATTGATTTAACTAGACTGTTGACCCAAAGGGTTACCATATTGAGGTCCAAGATAGCTTTTAATTCATTTGGAATAAGATGCCTTTCCCATTAGAATAAATGTGACGCTGCTTGTTTATTATCGCATCACTTTATTATTTAATTTTTGAAGGTGCTAGACGCCTCCTGGTACATGCCACATGAACAGAGGAACCCACTTCAAGAATATCAGGTGCCAGCCCTTCTTTACATTTCTTACTTGGTACAAGTGGCTTGATTAACATTTACCTATACAAGACTGCTGTTCAAATTGCATCGGCAGCAGACAATTAACATGAATCTGAAACATCTCATAAGTCAACTATATTTTTGTGTTTTTGATCTTTAATTCTTCATAGAATTTTGATTTTAGAAATTTCCACCTGCTGTTTGAACAGGTTGCACACATTCCCGGTGCCCTTTTCTTTGATATTGATGGCATATCAGATCCATCTGCCAATGTAAGATGTTGTACACAGGCTAAATATACTTGTTTAAAACACGATCCACAGCTAAACAAAGCTCAAGTTATCTGTGGAGGTTTATTTTTAACTTAGTATATAAATGTCTCTTGATAACAAGTCCAAATTCTTTCATTAGAATTGGTCATGAGGCAACAAACTACTTGCTAGCTATTTTAGATAATCTATACTCGAGAGATTGTTCGTATGGACTCATGAGTAAGTGCACATGCTATTATCATGTGGTCGCACTTACACACGTGCTGCAAACAATCTATTTGACTCTGCAACATGTACCAGTTGCCACATATGTTGCCATCAGAAGAAGCATTTGCTGCTGCTGTTTCTGCTCTAGGCATTGAAAGTAAAGATAAACTTATTGTTTATGATGGAATGGGCCTTTTCAGTGCAGCTCGTGTTTGGTGGTAAGTTTCTGGCTTGGTACTCTAAGTCACCAGATATAGGGTATCAAATTTGGCACTCTTCAGTTATTACTCCGCTGAACTAATATACATTGATAAACAGGATGTTTCGAGTGTTTGGGCATGATAAAATTTGGGTTTTAGATGGAGGCATGCCAAGATGGCGTGCTTCAGGATTTGAAGTTGAATCAAGTGCTTCAAGTGAAGTTGCATCAGATGCTCTCTTGCAAGCTAGTGCTGCCATTGAGGCAATAGAGAAAGCATATCGAGGACAGCCAGTAAGTCACATTATGTCGGTAAAATTCATGATTTGTTATTATTCTGGATGTCAAAACTCAGTTCATCTATGTTCAAATGATTATGCTAACTAAATTTGTTTATGTTAAAATGACTAAGCAGCATCTAAGTTTACTGACGATGTACATCTCCTCTAATATCAATTTCCAATTGTAACATATATTTTTCTTTTGAAAATGAACTGCTCATAACATTTTTTCCCTATTGTCAAATTTGTGCAATACATCTTCGATCATTCTGATGATCAAACTCATGAATGGCATGAGCAAGTCTCCAATTCAAAGTCAAGGAGCCCCTTTTAATGAATCCCTGGATGCTAGATTTTGATAATTTGCGTGTACAACACTTGGTATATCCTCTCTTACCTGACATCTATACTAGACTACGATCAACATGAATAAGAGACCATATCCGTGTTACTAGACTGAGGCTGGCTTGTGGCTGAATAATTTTGCCCTTGTTGCTCATGGTCTATGAATTTTCAAGAGTTAGATGACAATCACTTAGGAGAACAACCCATCAGAAATATTACAATAATTTTTCTTCCATTATTTGGGACCCATCTTTTTCACAAACTTGAAATGTGGCCTCCACTATAGACAAGTGTAGTTTGGATTCAAATTTAGTGAAGTAAATTGCTTTATTTTAATCCTCAAGCTCTGGTTATGGCTTTTCTTTATAAGGGCTTGCAGAATATTTTCTCCTCTATGGCTATAGAATGCAATTAACTACTAAAATGATTAATTGAACCTTGCCAATGAGATACCAATATTTGACCTCTTGTTTTTCACCCTTTTCTTTTCACTTCTTTCATAGCTTTAGGGCGGGTGCCCTCTTCCACATGTAATGCTCCGTAAGATGGCCATATGCAATTTGTGTTTAATTGTTATTCAAGTATATTTTTTCGAACTTGTGTTGCTTAAAATACTACCAATAGCATTTCGACATTTGCAGGTTGGGCAAGTTACCTTCCAAACCAAATTCCAGCCCCATTTCGTCTGGGCACTAGAACAGGTCTATTTCCTTTTTGAGTTTTATTTGATGATGCTATCTAGTATTTTGAGTATTATTTACATTTTATAGTGAAACTTGCTTCCCACATGTAATTGATTTGCATGTCTCATCAATATCGGGCAAGATGAAGCAACGATTCTTTTGTTGATCTGTTCCATTTGTACTAGGAATTTATGACTTAGTGGACTGTAAACCACTTGGGCTAATGCTAAGAAGGCAGGTCTCTAGTTAATTTCTTGCAGCAGTATCAATTGATTGAGACTTTAAAAATAATCACCTGTAGAAGGACATCAGACGTAATTGGGATAATTTCTTTGTGTTGTGACTGCATATTTGAACTATCAACTTGGCAATGTGGGTTCTAACTTCACCATTTGAGGACTGTTTTCTTGTTGACTTTATGTCATAGCTTAGACTTGTTTGGATTCTTGGAGATCAAAATGGGTAGGTCCCTCTCTTTTTCAATAACGATCAGTAGTGTGTGGTTTTACTTGTAGAAATTTTATCTTGTTCTTGTTTCAAGATATAGTTTCTCTTTAATTGCAGGTTAAGAAGAACATTGAAGAAAAAGCATTTCAACATATAGATGCTCGATCAAGAGCTAGGTAGATTATCCATATTTTGCTTCACCGTTAGTTTTTGTTTGTCATTAGTTCATTGCTTGTGTTGTTTGATCTTTGGAGATATTGTACAAAACTCGTGCATTTTTTATGCAGTAAGTTTCACTGTCCTTCCTCCTGATGTATTAACACTCTCCGAAATGTCTTTTTCTACTTGATTTACGTAATGCAGACCAATTAACCAAATTTTCCGCAAGCTTTTGCTTGTAACAGGCATATGAATAACCTTGTTCAAGAAATTCATATTCCAGTGTTATTGAAAATTCAACTTTTTCTTCACAGGTTTGATGGGGTTGCACCAGAGCCTCGAAAGGGACTAAGAAGCGGTCATATACCAGGGAGCAAATGCATTCCTTTCCCTGAGGTTTACATCTTAATTTTGGGACCACTGTCGATTTAAAAAAAATGTCTTCATATCAAGAAATAGAAAGAGAGAAAACTTGGAATGATCACAGATATATAGGGTTTTAACATCTATTAGGTGAATTGGGTCTTTTATGACAATCTTCTTAGCATGTAGCTCTCCACATTGTCATAATAGAAGTTTTGAATAAGTTGCCTAGTTTTCCGATATTTTGGGGGGTTGCAGATGTTGGATGGCTCACAGGAACTCTTACCTGTAGATGAGCTCAAGAAAAGATTTGAACAAGAAGGTAAGAGCTCATTTTTGTGTTGACATAAATCCAGTTTCTCGAATGCTGTTCACTAATTTTGACTCTTTACTTTGAGGTGGTCGACCTCATTATATGTGTCGTCAGCCGTTTATATCTCAAACAATTTACTATACCAGGTTAATTGCAGTTGCTCATCCGAATTCGATTTGCCAATTCCTTTTTGCAGGGATATCATTGGACAAACCTATACTGACTTCATGCGGCACTGGTGTAACTGCTTGTATCCTCGTACTGGTGATTTTTCTCCCCATCTCCCTCCAACCACCACTCCTCGAGTTGATCATAACCTCATAATATTCATGAATGAACAATCTTTTTTTTCTTAATGCAATTTCTCTAGTTCATATTGACCTTAAAAAAAGAAAAAAAAAAAAGTGATCTCTCATATGTTATCTTTCAGGGGCTCCATCGACTTGGGAAGACTAATGTTCCGGTATTTGATGGATCTTGGACAGAATGGGCAACAAAACTGGACATTTCCAATGACGCTTGTAATGCCTAGACGCAATGCTTTTGAAGGATTGCCGGCTAAATGAACTTCAAGTTTATAGATAAATCGATTCTCTCTATTGCTATATTATAATTGCTGTGAGAACTACACTAAACTGTCCATTTGATGTATCAATCACCAAACTCTAATGAATTTGAACATCGAAGTGTTTTCTTTTGTTGTATGTGCAGATAATTCGTTGATGTTACAATTCTTCCAACTACTATACATTATCATTTACCAATAAGAGGCATGCTATTAGATAGCAACCGTTGTATGTTTGAAAAAAATAGAACTCGTATTTTTTGTATAATAAGATCATGTTACTCAATGTGAATGTGCAAGTTGTGCAAACAAATCTAAGAGAGAGACCTCAAAGTCAATCATGGATAAAGATCCTTTTGCCAGCTCGAACATTTGTTGGATTCGTCTCATCTTCCAAGGTTTTTTTTTTTTTTTTT